CACGCGCGAGGTCCTGACTTCAGGCGACCTAGCTAGGCACGCGCGTTCGTGCGGTGCAAGCACTGTTCAGGGCCATATGCACGCGTTTGTTGCATCAGCCGCGTCTGAACTTTCAGCTGAAGCAAAGTATAGTAGTGATATCTGAGGGCGAGAGCTCAAAGTCGTTGCTTTGAAGCGCCTTCCTCTGAAAATATCTGTCATACACAATGCGAATAAATCGTCTCTGAACTTTTTTTATTCTTGCTGCATCAGTTACCGTCAGCGAATTCCATACGGCACTACAAAACTCGAGCCTAACACGAACCAAAGAACAAAACAATCGAATGATACACAGCGGATTAAAAAAATCTCGCGTCAGGCGTGATGTGATCCCCAACATTCTAGAAGCAGACGTGACGGATTTGGGCTACGTGGTATGAAAAAGAAAGGTAACTGGGCAAAATAAACACCTAGGTCACTGATTTTCTGAACACGTTCAATTGAAGTATTGCCAAGTAGATACGGATAGGAAATGATTTCACATTTTCTACACATCGTCAGAAGTTTTGTTTTATCTGGATTGACGGCTAATAAGTTATTAGAACATCACCCTGATAGGCGGGCAATGTCATCCTTGTAAAAGAACACAATCATTCGTCGACTGAATTCTTAAATAAAGTTTGATATCTTCTGCAAATAATAGCAGCTGCGCATTCCTTACGCAAGATTCTATAGCACTAATAAATACAAGAAAAAGAAGCATCCCCAGGTTTGACCCTTGAGGTACGCCCGAAGTGGGCACAAAAACGTCTGATAAGCTATTCAACACATGTACGTTACTCTGACGATCATTCAGATAACTACTGAACCACATTAAAAGTAAAGGTGACGCACGATATAAAAAAAGTTTAAGCAGAAGCAGTTTGTAGTTTACCTTATCAAAGGCCTTCGATAGATCAGAATAAACAATATCGACTTGCCCTCGCGCAAAAACAAACGGCACAGTGTAATTGAGTAGTGAACAAAAGTTTGCCTCTACCGAACGACCTCTAACAAATCCATGTTGAACGGTGCTCATTTTATGAAAGAAGTAAAAATAAACACGGGTTTACATCACTATTTCAAAAACCTATGAAAAAGTTAGTAACGATACGGGGCGGTAGCTCTCTGCCTTCGACACCTCACCAGCTTTGTGTATTGGTACACCGACAGACTTCTTCCATAGACTTGGAAAAACACCCTTTTTAAGCGAAATATTAAATACATGTTTCAGTAAAGAGGCAATAATATCAGCACAACCCTCAACAATAAAACTAGGTGTTAAATCTGCACCAACGGATCGCTTTGGTTTTAAGTTTTGTATTGCCTCCAAGATTTCGTCGGTACTAACTTGGTTGATTGACAAAGTGTCATTACAAACAATGTTACCGGCAGAATTCGTGTTATGGGAAACACCCGAAGAATAACAATCGCTAAAATAGTTTCAAAATTTATTGGCTACTTTTTCGGGACAAGTTACATAATCCGTGTCAGTACGTAAAAAAAGATGAAAAGATAAAAGTTCTAGAAAGTGACTCACACTGAGTCCAGATTCATTCTGAAACGCCACGGTACCATGATTGTCAATAGTCTTCAACAGATGCCAAAAGCACTTTATGGGGAATCGAGTAATACAAATCTTTAATGTCCATTGAGCAAGCCAACAAGCTTCGGTCTGGGTGGTCTTTAAAAAAATCTATTATCTAATCAGAGTTCTTCACCTGAAAGGAATCATCAATCATTAACATAATTAGTTTTGTTTTACCTGAGGCAAAAGTAAGCAAAGAAAAGGCTTAGCTCCTATAGAAACGCAGCGAAGCCACCGGTCTTCAAACAATACGGCGCCGTTTCGCACGGGGGACAAGAGATGGTGCAAGAGTTTTCATCGCCAACTGCCGCCAACGATCGAGCATACGGCGCCGAGAGCAGGCGTCTTTAGCAGACGATCTTTTCGACTCAAAAGTTGCGGGAGATGTTTTCATATCAGTTTTCAATGCATTATTTTATCATCCTTATTAACAAAACACATTTAATGGACACAATCGATTAAAAAAATTATTTGTCGGGTTATTTTAACTTTCTTTTTTATGGTACTTATGTCGTCTGTTTTGCAGTTCCTGGTTGTTACCGCGCCTGTTTTTGTTTCTGCGACTGTCACCGCCTGCGGAACACGCGCCGCTTTTGAGTCGAAAAGATCGCCTGCAGCATAGGCCGGCTCTCGCCGCCGTATGCTCGTTCGTTGGCGGCAGTTGGCGTCGCGACCGCTTGCGCCATCTCTTGTCTCCCGTGCGAAACGGCGCCGTATTGTTTGAAGAGCGGTGGCTTCGCTGCGTTTCCATAGGAGCTAAGCATTTTTCTTTCTTTACTTTTTTCTCAGGTAAATACGCTCTTTGCAAATTTAAAAAAAAAGAAAGAAAAAAGAAAGCACTATTTGTAGGCAACGCTGCACAAAATCGTAGCGCGATAGGTTAAGAAACCGAATTTCGCGGTCGATTTGAAAAGCCTTGCCGCTACATGGGACGCCCGGTATGTTCCCCTGGTCGTATAACTCACCTGCACAAACAGCGAATTTATTTTAGAACACTCTCAGTACGCACTCGGTACCTACTCGTCTCTGTATCATTTGCGGGCATAACGGCCGGCCCGCTGCACCGAAATAAACAAGACCCTTGAGCTCCAGATTGCGTCATCAGAGAAGCGACAACCCGAGAAAGCAGATGCTGATGGAGATGACGTGGAAAGAAGAAAGTGAGCGAGTGCGGAACGTGTGTGCGTTGTGCACGGGACAAACTCATCGGCAGTGAAGCGACGTCCGATAACTTTCCTTGTTTACGACCGAAGGAACGGGTGGAGTGCCAAGACCTTGGAACGAATTACTAGCTGTGTGTTCCTTTTTTTTTAGTTTGATTTGAATTCGTTCGCAATTATACCGCTGATGCAATCCGTAACGGAGCCTTGCGTAATGTTGTCACAGAAAAACAACACAAAACTTACCTTAGAAAAGTGATAGCGAACTTCCTTAAGGATTGAACTGGTTGAATTGAGAACGGGTTCCAGAGTGGCACAAAGATGAAGCGATCAATTTTACCGGAAAAAAAAAAAAAGCACGATGGAAGTTGTAATTTCGCTTAAAGATCTTAATGAAAAACTTAATTGTATGTCTTGCTTCCCTCCATAGCACTGGCTGGGAAAACATAGACGAATATTGTTTAAAAATATAACATAAACCTCTCTAGCCGTCACGGCGTTATGTCTTGTTTTAGTTTTCGCAATTGTTGTAACCAGCGGTTCATCGGGCCGAAGCGAGCGATTTGTAGGGGATGCGTCAAGCGTATTGCACTAGATATTTCAGGTTCTCGGTGACCTAACGCTGCTATTTGAGATCCCCATTTTCGGCATTAGTGGATCTTTACGCCGTGTACAGTACAGATCAGAAGGAGACGTGGCACACTTGCGGGAGAATAACAAAAACTTTTCTAAAACGCTTCTATATTTCTTTATTTCGGTGATTGCGCATTTAACTTTTATTATCCGTTTTAAAGTGGATACGAGAAGGTGCGAGCATGCACCCTCTTTCCGGTGTTTCGAAATACAAATAGTTCATTCCAGCTAAAAAAAAAAAAAAAGGAAAAGTCAATCATCTTTATTATGAAACCTAAACCTCGCGGAATGCATTCGCTAGAATATACACGAATGGGCATGTAGTACATCGGATTGAAAGTTGATGATATATGAGCGAGAATAACAGGACGAAAAAAAAGGGGGTGGGGGAGGGGGACTTCTAAGGCCCATGCGTTTGTGAGTGGTCAACTGCGGCGCCACCGCCTCTCACTGCTTACAGCGAGATAACCCACTGGCGCCATCTATCGGGTGTAGTGCTGCAACTCTTTAGGTCTGCGGGTATTTTGCGCATTACTCTTTTTCCTCGGACTTGAAACAATTCTGACAACATTATAAGCGAACATATCTTCTAGATAGCGTGCCGATTTTATCTCGCAAACAGCTCGACGCCTTCAGCCTAGTTATACGCGTATCGTAGATGGTTTTAGGGCTATCGGTTAAATGGCGCCATTGTGCCAGTGGCTTCTCACGTCGTGGGCAGACACAAGAGCTTGCAACGCAGTTGATCACACTCAAAACGTAAATGTGCGAATCAGCCTTTAGGAGCGCCGCAAGGCCGCTGGGCGCAAGGTCTCTGACCCCAGTAATGCATGCTGATTGAGAAAAGGAACTGATCACACACCCCCACATTGATGTAAAACGTGGACCCTCCCCCCCCCCCCCCCGGCCCAAACTGACAGCTTTTTTTTTTTTTTTTGCATCACAAAAATTTACTACGCATCGTTGAGACCTAATTCTCCACCCATATGTAGCGCTAGAGGTCAGAACCAGACGGAGAAGCTCCAGGAATAACCGTCATCTAATTCAAAAGTGATTTTCTTAAAATTGCGATGGGAAAATGGGCCCCATTTTTAGCCGCTTTCGACAACTTGCGTCATTCAGCTCCGTGTATTCAGAGCTCCATCGGCCGCCAATTCCGCATTCAAACAAAACAACAACAAAAAAAAAAAAGAGAAAATTGTTTACTATTTTTGAATAAGATAACGGTTAGTTCCAAAACTTTGGCATCTTGTCTCTGTTTCGGTCAGGTTTTCCTATATTTGGTCGGAGAAAGAGCGTTCGGCGACGTGCAGTTTAATTTAGCGACAAAAACAAAACAAAACAAAAAAAAAGATCATGTGAACTAGGGGTGTGCGAATAGTGGTTCGAATCGAATAGCGCTGCGCCATATATAATCTTGGCTGTGCTAGGCGAAACCAAGACCTACCGGTTCTCTTTGCAGTGTCGATGCTGGGAATGACGCTGCGCTATTTGATTCGAACCACTATTCGCACACCCCTAATGTGAACACACTGCATTTTGGCTTGTCATTTTCCCGCGCGGTCAAACTTGTCCTACTGGAACCTTCTGTCGCGACTTGGTCATTTCTTGTAGCCGTACTGGTTCAGTTGCATGTAAAAGTCCTCCTTGCTTTGAAGTGCTTTCTCCAAAGCGTTGCAGTCGAAACTATTCATCGATCCCCCGTATTCTTGAGGTAGCCCTTCAAGAGGAAGGAGCTCATGGAGCTCTTTGTATCGGCGTCCAATGAAGCGAACCTGTAACAAGGACGTTATTTTAATTATTAAAATCACCCTCTGAAGTGTTATGTGCGGGGTTTTGGGAGGCACGGCCACAAGCGAATTGCTTTAAAAGGTGAATTTTTGGGTGGGAAGACTTGAACAAACACCGAACGCTTCACTGCTTCAATGTTTTGAGACAAAGTAGATCTTGACGTTGTCAAGATAGTTGTAACTGAATACGTATGCGCACCAAATATAGCAGGGAACAGAACAAAATATCCCATCCTTACCTAACGACTTGTAATAGAGACCACAAAAAAATATTGAGAACCAACGCCTTGACACCGATATCCACCAATCACCGCGTTAAAGGGGTACTCGTACCATTTTTAGAGCTTACCCCAAATAACAATATTTCATGTATCTCCGGCATTTCCCTTTCCCCCTTCTGGTATGCTATTCAGTATTGTAAAAATTCAAATAGTTGTTGTTCAATTAGCACATTAAAACCATGCCGAAACCAACATTCAAATATACCCGCGATTTCTTAGTGCCGTGACATCAGTGGCAGGCAGGCTTGCAGGTCTAGCAGGTAGCCCAAAGATTGACTATGCCGATCATTTGTTTCTTTCTGCTGCGCGGGAGCTGGAGCGAGCTACCAAGGCGTTTATTTGAGACCATGAAACTGATTGTAATCAGTTAGGAACAAATTCTACAGTTAACGGGACCATGAAACGATTTTTTTCCCTTCATAGCTTCAACCCTCAACTCAAACGTCCTCATGACATGCTTGGGTATCGGTGCGATGAATCCAAGCGTCCACCCTGCGCTTTAAGCACACTATACAAATTGTCATTTGCAAGTGATGGTAAACTCCATCAGGGCACTCATCGGTCACAAACGCGAATCCACATACTCGTCTTCGGATTGATTGTTGACGAGCGACAAGTGACGCAGTTCTCGTGTCCAATACGTGAACTGGGTCGGCTGACGTATTTTAGGCTTGGCTGACGTGCCTTGGGCTTTGGGTACCGCGGGTGTATCAGAGTGAAAAGGCTTTCCAAGTAAATGATGTACGTAATAGCCCGCTATATTTTCAAACGTTCGTCCCGGAAAGCTGGCTTTTGACCTTGTACCCCCTTTCTTTTGGCCCACTAACCGATATGCGATGAGTAAAGTCCTGATCTAAAATAATTGATCCCACCCATAATTCATTTCATGGACCCCTTTTAAGGGGTACGGAAACGAAGTGACATGACTGAGAGCTCTCTACCTGTCGCTCAAAGTCAGCCAGCGAGAAGCGCAGTGCGTTTCTCGCTCGTGACGTCAAGAGCTCCTGCACGGCGAACACCACCTAGACTACAAGGCCTCTTCACTCTTCCTATGACGTTATGCTATGGGCTCGGCCAACACCGCCTAAAATGACTAAGGCCTCTCCAATACCTCCTCTTCACGTCGCGTGACATCAACGGATGTCTAAGGTGTTTCCGGTAATCTCGACTCGGCTCGACGAAGCCGAGCAGAGCCACCGGTCAAGTTCGAGCCTGTTCGCCCACGCTGTTTGCCCGTCGTCAAATACATCGTCAAATTCGTGGAATACGCAGTCGTCAAAGCCGAATTTCCTGCAAAGAGAGGCTAGAAATTCGGCCAGCTCGCTTGCAAGCATGCGCACGCTGGGAGCCCTCGCCAGGTGATCGAAACCGGCCTGCAAGAAGCCGGCAGCCCATGGCGAAGACCGCTGCTAGGAATTTTACCCTCTTCACCATCCCACTATAACCATCATCCTACATGTATCCAATCGACAAGCCCTCGTCACCCGCAACGTCAACCCGCACGTTCATCTACAAGCTTCGTTTCAACAACGTCATGCATCTTGGACATTGTATCAGCCTATAATCACTCACTAGACGCGGCACTGTGGGCGCCTATGGTACAGGCTGTCGCCTTTCCACGGTGCCGTGGCTCTCCTGAGTCAGTAAATATTAATATTATAATTATTATCAAAGGTAGAAGGTATTTAATATGTACACAAAGCTTAAAACGTCCAGATTGTTGCGTGTTTTGCGGGGGTTTGTTGTCTTTCTTTTACTGAGATTTCGTGCTCAGCTGGAATATTACCCTAGACCTAGGCCAGTCAAGGTTTAGTCATTCATAAAAGGCACGTTGAAACACAGTCACACACAAAATTACATAGAACTAAACAGCAGTGTAGTTGTCTCGAAAAATTACTGTCTGCAAATTTAACAAAACAAGGCCTAATAGAATCCGTTTCCTACTTATCCGGATCTCAAATTCCCTTGTGTGCATGTATCCACGTTTCTTGCAGGTTTCTTCCACATCACAGTACACTTCACAGCGTACACTGTTATGTACGGATCTTCCCTGGATCGTTCAGAAATCACTTCAAACTGAAAAACGAATTCGACTAAATGCACTACGTCATAGTCTCCGCTATTGCCGAACGTCTGAAAAATGGAGATTTCCGGCTAGAACTTGCCCGGTAGCTCAACTCGGCGCCTTCGTGCCGCGTCGAGATTATAGTAAGTCTACAGACTCTGCTTGCAGAGCCAGAGTATCGCGTTCCTTTTCCTTGCGCTGCCAATTTCATATTGGCGGAGAAGCAGTCGCGTGCGCCGAACTGGATCCAACCTTCATGAGGGAAAATGACCTTGCAGGCGCAGAGTTTTCGAGCAATCATGGTTCTCGCTTTGCATTTGCGAAAAATACATCCTACACTAAAATCGAACGAACTTGCAGATTCCTGGACAATTAAGCAATATGTGTAGCCACTAGGTACCGTATAATCGGGTTGTTTTATAACCTGGGCGATGTTTTAAAACATGTCTCCAAAGTCTGGGAAGCAGACGACACGGAGGACGATCGCGGTGCTCGCGTCTGAGGCGTTGGCCTCAGACGCGTAGCTACGGCTTTCAAAGGGACGCTGTCTTCGTCGACTATTATGTTCTAAAGATGGCATAGAGAAAAACAGGCTACAAATGACGAGACGACGGTGCACGTGCGGCCCTTCACAGCCACGCCATTCCCGCCTCCGGGACTCCTGCGGAAGCGAAGGTCGCTTCCTGCAGCGCGGCCTTGTATCCAACATGGCCTCTTTGGGGCACCATTGCGATACTCTTCTCCGCAAGAGGAGCATATGCAGTTACTCTAGTCGAGATTACCGGAGAAGCAGGACACATCGGTTGACGTCACAGAACTTGGAGAGGAGGCATTAAAGATGCATTAGTCAGTCTAGGTGGTGTTGGCACGTCCAAGGGTACTGTAGTTGAGAGTTTTGCCGCTTGGTGGCGTCAACGCGTGACAACCTGTACAAAGCTTGCCCATAACGTCGTTTGCGGCCATGCCAGTATTTTATGTGCGTTCGGTTCACCGTGTTAGTTTAATAAGTAGTAGCTCGAGGGAAGCAGCAAGTAGAAATAACCGTCAGTACGCGGCGATGGCGACACCTCAAGCTATGTATGTGAGGTATTCACTTAGTGACATATTTGAGCGTGTTGTTCACAGAGCATCCTGGGGGAGAGGGGGAGGGGGAGGGGACAAAGAGTTGAATGGTTGGCGTGGTAGAGGTTCATGCATCCTGCGATCAAGCTCCTAGCAAACAACGGCGATCTTGATGGTGTGGAATGCACGTTGCGAAAGCACTGCGGAAGCTTTAACATACACAACGTAGTAAACTCGTTAGTGTTCTCCGCCATTCAGAACTAAATAACTCCACGATCGAGCCATACTGCCGCGAAGTCGCGCTGCTTCCTAGAAACTCACGACGTGCGGCATTCCAACGAAGCTTCACAGACCGCCATGGGACGCAACTTTAAAATTCGTTAATTCGTTTTAAAATTAGTTTTCCTGACTTTCCTGCCAACAACCCAGGAACACAAGTCCAGACTGGGGATTCCGTGCTGTCGGCAAACATAAACCACATCTAAACAAAGAAATAAGTGCAAATATTTTGTTTTCGTACCCCTTTAATGAGTGAACAACTGCCTGCCGCTGGTGTCATGTTTTCTTTATTGCCAGTTGAGACTTACAGTTTCAGAACATATTATGAGGGCCAAAGTTGTAAAGTCTATATTAGCGAAAAAATCATTTTATTCAAATATGTGGGTCACTATTTTAGCAATAGTTTTGTTTTTATGTTTAGCAAACTTTGAAACAAGTCGGGGTGTATGAAGAAAACGCCGGAGTACCGTTTTAACCTTGTACACAGAGATTGAGCAAAACCAGCGCCGCGTTTTGTCCTTGCTCTCTTTTTTTTTTTTTTGTTGAGAAGGTCAAATTAATACGGTATTTGTGCAATTACTAATTGGCATGCAACACGTATAACATATGCCCGTGAGTCTATAACGGTCATACACTTATAGGGTTTAATATTTACTGAAACCTGAATAAAAACAAGGCTCCTAATATCAATGCAAATTGTTAATCTGCTCAGTGTGCAGAAACTTAGCTTCCATATATTTACATACTTGACATTAAATATTTAAATATATAAATAAGCCTTCCAAATTGCATCTCTTGTACCGTAGTGAGACTTTTGGCAACAACACTCTCCATCCAACATCTACTTCCCGGAGAAATGTGCATTCCATAAGGAAACTCACCCTTTTCACAAGCTTACTACTCAGAAACAGCTTGGCAACGTTGTAGAAAAGTTCAAATATGGGCGGATGATTTGTGATGTAGATTCCTCGTATCCGCAGTGGGTAGCAGTCCTGAAATTATAGTGATAAATATAAGCTTCTTGCGTTTTCCGCAGTCCCCTTTTAATGACGCGTGTCCTCAACAATTTAATAGCAATACGTTCTTTGTACATAAACCCTCACATATCGATTGCATGCAGTACGGCTTGTTCCCATGCACGTTTTTTTTTTTTTTTTTGTTTTCGTAATCATATGGTAATTTTTGAACGCAAAGAATAAACAGAAAATATTAAGAAAAAAAAAAAAACGTGACTGTGCTTTTTTGGTGCTTCAAATGCAGACTGCGTGGCTTGTCTTCTATGAAGGCTGTATTCCGGCGTCCGTTTGGCCATGCTTTTGCATGTCGAGCACGATCATATTCAGCACGTCGCCGCTTTTGTTCAGATATACTTATTCTCTTCCCTCCTCCTTCCTTTTGCAATGTATTCTGAAGGCTACGGCATATCAAGTAAGTGCCTCGTTTCGCGACCTGCGTGTGCATGCGAAATGGAGAGGAGGGCGGCATGTTTGCCTCACTCCCCTACGCATACGCATCCGTTTAATTATAATCACCAAAATGTTTCAAGAAGGGAGAGAGAGGGAGGGGGATGGGTAGCTTGAATTAAACCAGGGGTCTGCAACGCACGGCCCGCGAGGCAGTGTTCTGCGGTCCCCGGGGGGACACCAAAAAAGATCCCTCATCTCGCTTTGCCGCGTCCTCACACAGACTCAAGGATCACACGGTATAGTTATGTCCTCAAACGAGGTTAGACAGGAACAGGAGCACTTCGAAACGGCATCGCCCGGCACCCCTATTGTTGGGCAGAGAATGTCTTAGCTTTCTTTTTGCATTTCCTTCGCCTGTCCTCCGCCCCCCTCCCCCCCCCCTCCCCCCTCCAATTTTCTGTCTTGCAAGCCCGGCCCACTCCGTGTCAGCTACGTGACGACTCAGCCCGCTACTGGATAAGCGATGAATTCAACCTTACTCATCATACCGGTCCATGTTGAAGGATTGCGAATGGAGTACATTGGACGTATACGGAGCGCAAGATCGTCTGCTGGTTGCGCAGGGGTTGCGGTGACGTTAGAACGCCGTGCTCTGATTAGTTCTGATTGGAAGGATAGTGGGTAGACCTCAGTGACAGCTGCCTTGAGGCCTACCCACTATCTTTCAAATCGGAGCCAATCAGACCTCGGTGTTTTGATATCACCGCAACCCCCGCGCAAGAAGCCGCCGAAATTGCGCTCTGCGGAGGCTCTATATTAGGCTTTAAAAATACACGAAGGAAGTTTTTAATTTTGAATTCAAAAGTACTACGTCTGAGAAAAGAAAAACACACACACAATTAAAGAAAAGAGATGCTTGTCAGGTTTATACGTAAATCGGATTAGTTTTTTTTTTTTCATATTTACAGCCGGTTAGTTATCCTAAGAAACTCTCATAAGACGAAATCGTGCGGGCACAGCGGGCCTAACCGCAATAACGAATACGCCAGGGGTGAGAATCCGTAGCTTCACACCCATTAGTGCGAGGTATGCGGTGTGACTTTTAAGTTTGAATTTAGTGAGAAGTACATCCCAGTGGTATCTTCCTAGATGTGCCATAAAGCACTGACTTACGCGGGACATCTAAGTACGTCAGGAGTCCCAGTAACAGAACTACAAAAGAAGTTAAGCTAAGCAGTGGCGGTGGATGAAAACTGCCTTGTTCACATATTTGTAAACGTATATTTGCGGAACGATCATTGCAATCAATAATTGTGCACTAATATTACGCGACTTTTACCCTAATTATTAAAGGCTTCATGTATTCGTAAATGTACGTCGTTTATTCACATTTTCTTGCTTTGCTAGATGTTCTGGCATCTGTCGTGTGGGTTCTATGGCAGCCAAATTTCCGTTCACCTTTTTTTTTGTGTGAATGAAGGCGTATTTTCTCTTTTCCTTTTTATAATATTTTTTATTGCAAACACGCTTCGAATCGCATACTTTAGCTGCATGCGAGGCTAACTGAAACGGTTGTAGTACGATTGCACCGCGTGCAGAATCCCTGTCGGAAAAGCCCCGCGTCATTAGCCTCACGTTTCGAAAACCCCACGTTCACTTAGCCCGTCCCGCCCCTGTGCCAAAAGCCTTGTCCTCACTGCCCTCTTCCCACACCCTTCGAGCTTCAATCATCATCCTTCTGACTTACACCTTATTCGCGGAGGATCTACAAAGGGTATTTTAAGTGAAAGAAACAACAAAACAAGGTTAGCTTGAACGGCGAAAAAAGTTCGAATGATGTATAAGTGGCCAATTGCGCAAATCTGCATAACCAGCGACTCTCTCGGCTGTCATAAAGGTATACTCAGACGTAGAATTGTAGACTGTATCTACCTAAATGGATACAAAAATGTTCAGAGCGACGGAAGCAGAATGGAAGCGGTGTTTGGTGCTGTGTACTTAATAGGAATGGCGCCATGCGCTGCGGGTTAACAGTTTTGACAGAACCCACTTCGTCGGAACTGTTAGTCTGCGCGTGCTTCAGTGTCGACGAAAGCTTTGATTCAATGCTTATTCATAAAAACTGCAATTTTATATGTTTTCCGAATGACTGATATGTTTTGTTTATTCCCACATCTAACGTCACAAGACGTGAATGTGTGTAACTTACGCCTGAAGAACGGTTGGCTTCATCCAGTTATTTCTTAAGGGCCGCCCACACTAGCGAGAAAACGCGCGTGGCACGCCGATCGCGGGAAGTAACAAAAAGTCGCCGTAGCACAGTCAGCGCCACGAGCGCGTGCAGACACACGTGACACAACCTTTATCTTCCCGCTCAACCGATTTTGCGGAACGCGTTTTCAACGCGATCGGCGCGCCGCGCGCGTTTTCTCGCTAGTGTGGGCGGCCCCTTACACGAGTCCCAGTACGGCATGCCTCTTAGTTAAAAGCAGAATGTTCCACGCTCGCGCTGAGGAACCGGCAACCCGGGGGTTTCACGTCATGGGCTTATGGAACAGGGGCTTTTGAAAGCGGGGGGCAAAAAGGGTGGGGTGTTTGTCGCGGGGCATTTGACACGAAGCTTTTGACATCGGGTGCTTTCGTGCACCCGATGTCATAGTTTTAACGTCTCTTCAAGTTTGCAGTGGAAGTTTTCATTTGGAATTTCGTACTTGAGTACTGCCCTTCAGCCTGTGCGACCTTCAGATGTGTTTACTTCTCAGAATCGCTATTGAAGTGGGATGCGGGCATTGCGTAACGCATAATCTGATAAACGGATTTGTGTACTGGCAATCGTCCAGCTGATAGAACCCCCGACATATTAGGCCGTCAACGATCCGACAAGCGGCTATGCAGCCCTTCAAACTACCGTATTTTCCGGACTATAGTCCGCGAAATATACATGTTTAAAAGTTGAAATTTTACCCGGTGCGGACTATCTGCAGGTGCGGACCATAAAGGTTTTGTATTTTTCTAGATCGTTCACTGTGACAATACGCGAAGGATGTTATGACTAAAGAGTATATTAATATTGATTTATGCATCATACAAGCTCCTTTGCGAACTAATAGAGCAGGCATTTGTGTAGGTGTGCTGTGTATGATACTATCTATGACGTTCGAATTAGGCCCTAATAACGGTCGTACACAATGCGTGCCAACTTCCTCTGAACATCTTAACCTCTCAGCCTGCCACATTCACACAGTTCCAGACCACGGAGCCGAACTCAAGTTTTGTACGCACAATAGAGGTGTAATCCTGATAAGACACGAGGGCTCCTTGAAATCGCGGTTTATTCTCGAAAACAAACCTAAAAGTCGGAAGCATGAACTGAACAAATTTGTCAAATGTGAATCAAAACTGAGGGTGGAATCCACATAGACGCCCAAATCCCTCAGACAACGCACTCGACGTAATGGTTCAATATTTAGCTTATAGAAAAAATTAAGAGCACATTTTTTTGCGTGATAAAGAAATGACAAGCGTTTTTTCTTAAAACGCAAGTTTTGCATCTCACACCATAACAAGATTGCAGATATGTCTTTTTGCAAAAGTTCGCAATCAGCATCCGATCTGATATGTCTGTAGGTCTTAATGTCATCGGCAAACTGGAGAAATTTGGAATGTTTTACACAACGATAAAGGTCATTAACAAAAATATCAAACATCAAAGGTCCCAGAATCGAACCCTGGGGAACACCAGGACATGTGTATGATCTCGATAACTCACCGCCAACAAGAACTCTGTTAATGCGCCCAGTCAAGTATGCTTTGAACCATATACAGAATGGCAAAGACTCTCCATATTCTGGCAGTTTGTAAAGTAATAGTTCATGATACACTAGGTCCAATGCTTTGCTCAGGTCAAAATAAATGGCGTTGACCTTACCACAGTTGGCGACGATAGGACCAACGCAACTGAAATAGTTGGCCAAGTTTGTTTCAATGGACCTAGAGTTAATAAAGCCATGTTGTGATTCATTTAAAATCTCTTTGAAATTACTAGAAAAATGCATTTCAACTACGCTCTCAAAAAGCTTTGAAAATGAAGGCAGTAATGACACAGGTCCATAGTTCGCAACATGTGTCGAGTTCCCTGATTCGAAAATTGGCACTACAATTCTGATGTCCGTTTTTCTGGAAGAATTCAATTTTCAAGTGACAAATTAAAAAGGTAAGTCAAGACAGGTACCAAAGCATCCGAACAGCCTTTAACAATAAATGATGGTTTGGCATCTAAACCGCGCCAAAGTTTTGGTTTCAGACGTCTAACGTATTTTTCCACTGCTGCATTATCAATGCTGAAAGGGTCGAGGACGCCATCAGTCTTTGCGAAGCCAGCACCGTTAAGCGCTTGTGTGCGTGAGTTTTCAGATTGTGTATCATGGATAAAGACGCTTGAAAAGTATGACGCAAACAACTCACATACAACAGCGGGGTCGGAGTGAAAACCGGTATCATTCGTCAACATAACGTTCCTCTCTCCCGTTTCCAGTGCATCTTCTTTATACTTCCAAACATTGTTAGGATCATTCAATCAGACTGAAACAGCGCTACTTTTTACACTAGCGTTGAGCGTATCAAAAGCTAAGGGGGCATTGAAAGCAAAAGTTTGAACACGTACTGCACAGGTCGTAACGCCCTCCATTGTTTCAGTTTCCGCCATCTATAGACTATCTAAACGTGGCGGCCAATAACAGGTCTGTCTTGCATTCGCTTCAAAATGTGTTTCCCCAATGTTTATCCACTACGTTCAAAATCTGCGGGGTGTTTTGGCGTAAGCGAGCTTCTAGAGGCTCAGCCTTCTTTAGGGAAGCGATGGAAAGATAACCTACTGTCCCACTGCAGCGCTGACGAACGTTGGCATAAGCACAATGTTGGTTCATGCGGTCGTGTAGGTTGGGTTCAGAGCGACTTATAGGCAACACGCTAGTACGACAGTAATGGTAGAGCCACCGGGAAAGTTGTTTGCCGTATGCAACATGCGACACAGTGCAAGGCGCGCCTAACCTGTGAGGCCATTATGAGTCACGGTCTTCCACGCGGCCTTGTTGTTGCTGCCGTTTTCGCCGCTAAACACAACCAATGTAACTTCCCTCTTTCTACTCTGGTGGTTCAGTGCTTTCCCGCCTGGTGGCGTCCGTTTTGCGGAAGTCACCAATAGATCGACGCGTTGTTTACAAATAATTGAGCGCTTGCCCACACCGGGTGCGGGCATGCTGCGTGTGTGCGGGAACAAGATTCGCGTGAAGCTATGCCTCTGCGGATGCGTCGTGGCTACAATGCTACCACAGTGACATGGTGTCAGGAACGCATTTTGATGTAATAGCTCGGGTTCGGATGGAGCGCTCACGTACTCATTATGAACGAAGGCTGGCACACGGGCTTGCTGTTTTTGAAGAAGGGCGAATTTGGGAACGTACCTGAGCAAGCTTGATGAGCTTCCGAATTTCAAATGGTGTGTAGTGGCGGGCGTGAGCCAAAGAAAGTCCGCCCGCGTCCACCACGGCCACTAGGCCGGCAATTTGGAGTCTTTCTTCGAGCAAGTAGTATTCAAGGATTACGATGGCTGTCCTGAAGAAATCTTGCAGAGTGCATATGCCCGGATTCCAAGCTCCTGGAAATAGAGTCAAGGGTGGCTAAAACAAGCGTGAAATACCTATTGTTGACCCAATGCCATGACGTAAAAGCAATGTGGTTTGTCGCCAGCTCTTTAATTAATGATGCACTCGTTAAACAACCCAGTGTACTTACCTACCTTCAAGATGCCTATTCGCCTTCCTAGTGCATCGCACTCCGAAGGAATGATAATGAGCTTGTTTTTGCGGATCACTTCGTCGAACAACATGTGGGACGGCAGAAGGTCCTCAAACATGTCCTTGTGCTCAGTCCTGACGCGAAAGTAGTTTCGAATAGCCTGGAATGTATCCTGTACGCGAAACTTGCGTGAGCGCAAGAATTTTACCAGGAACCTTTCGTCCGTTGGGCATTTCAAGTCAGGTTCCTCTGTGGATGACGTGTGAAAGAAAGCAGATATTTTATTAATGTTCATTTATGAAAAGCCGGGTCACACTGCTTATGCATCTTACAAAAGGCAGTCTGCAAACAGGTTTGAACGCAAGGCACCACGAGACTCGTGCATCGAATGCTGCGTGGTAGCGGGTTCAATGGGGAACTTGGCACGCGGCATTCAAACCACGAATATCAGGGTGACTGATGTTTGCAGACTGCCTTTTGTATAATGTATGAGCAGTGTGACTCCGGCTTATGGTGATGTGCCGCATGGTTTACACTGGAGTCAGGGATGACCTAAATATTAAGTGCCAATTTGTCTACTCAGTAGCAGACGCATATAGAGCTCTGCATATCCGCGGATTACTCGCGGATCATGCGCAGATATCCGCAGTCAACTGGTGGATGCTGATAAAAGTGATTCAGATTTGGCAGACTGCGGATCGGGTGTGGATATCAGAAGCTGCCAGTGCGGATCGAATGTAAAAATCCGCGGGTTCGGATCTACATTTTTGTCGTGGCGGCTCATAAGCGTGAGTGACCGCAAAATGTAGAGTGATCAGGTGAGTGATACAATGAAGTGCATCATCGAATGTTTTACGAGGAGCAAATAACTCTCGTGGAAAAGGAACTTTCTTCGTTTAAAAAAAAGTCCCAAAACGCACAAGCCAGATGAAAGTAGAAGAAGCTTGTTTCGCCCCTTGATTTCTTATGTAAACTTAATGTGCAGATTGCGGGTCAGATGCGGTTCATTATTTTGCGGATGTGGTTTGGATGCGAATAAAAAGTATGCGGACGGGGATCGCATGCAGAATCAATAATGTAAGAAGATCCCAGATGAGCTTGGGGTGTTAATAACTCCGGACGCGGATCGAATTCGGATGATCAAACCGCACAGGTCTCCACATATGTACACTATATTAGCTGCAGCCTTATGCTACGGCTGCTACCCTTTTATTTTGAGTTTCATTATTTTCGTGGAAAAGGTTATAATTTCAGGGAGAAGCTTCAATTTTCCCACCTCCAGCAGGACCTTCCTACCTCCAACAAAGCTTTAGAGTTTCGTGCACCTCAAGGGCGCACGCGCAGCCGAAACTACGGCGGCAGGTATTTAGCGCGCGTTGGAGGTTGGGCGTTCTAAAGACGCACCCTTACGTTCTCGCTCTGTCAGTGACTATAGTTACAAACGAACAAAAAATGTGTTACTCTTATCAGAGAGAACAAAAAGTAAAACAAGCCGTCCGGTCGATGTTGCTACTCCCATCTGGAACCAAGTGTTTGTGAGAAATCCGAACCCGGCCTATCGCACCGCAAAATAAACTAGACATCGCGGAGAGCTGGAACTTCGTCAGAACGTAGCCCCAGCCGTTCGAGTTAGATGCCAAAGTTTCAGCACCAACCGTTATTTTATTCAAAAATTAGAAGTGATTTCTTTTTTTCTTTTTTTTTTTAATTTTTAATGGGAAAATGGGGCCCATTGTTTCCCGTTTTCGGTTTCTGGCGCCACAGACCTCCCAGTATTCGAGAGCTCTATCGGCAGCCATTTTTCCCTTGAAATGTTTAAAAAATCATTTCTAATTCGAGTAAGATAACGGTTGGTGCTGAGCCTTTAGCATCTTGCTTGAACGGCTGGGGCTCCGTTTTGACGGAGTGGGAAAACCCAGCAGTGTCTAGTTTGTTTTTGCGGTGCGAAGAGCCGGGTTCGGATTTCTCACAAACGCCCTGTAGTTACTGACTGTTTAAGAAGTGTAGGCGGTAGAATTAGGGTGTTCACGATTTTCGCTTCGTGATTCTTGCCTTGGCATGTTTATAGGCTAATACTGCCATTGCATCGGCTGAGGGAAAAACGAACAAACAAAGTTTACGTTCATGTTTATGCAGAGGTCACAATTATGTTGTGCAACTTGTCTGTACGTTTATTCTTCCTGAACTTAGTCTGCCTCAACGTGCCACTTTTCTCTCAGTTGTAGGTGAGAAATTTAGCCAGTGCAGTATACACCCGCTAGTCTGTGGTCTTTAACGTGCATCACGCAGTAGTGATACACGACCGCACGCCGGTACGACGCTCATCCAGATCGAAACGAGCAGGGGCGGGGATTGAACCCAGAATACCTGGGTTTTGCAGCGCGAGCTTCCCCTCCACGTGCTCCGAGCTGGTGTGCGTTAACACACTCGGCCACCGATCCCATCCTTTCACTGTGGCGCGATATATTGCGATATAGTAAAATGTTCGGGACACGTGACGTTCGGCATTTTGGAACTGCTGAATATGTGCTTTCAGGTGTTCATCTTGAGGAGGCTTTCGACTTTTTGTTGTATGTGGCTCTATCTGGGGGATAGCATCGCCAACCAGGCGCTTTTTTTCTCCCCAAGTGCATTGGAATAGCGCCTTTTTAATTCCTCGCATTTTATAGCGATAGCTGTTGCTCCTTGTCGTAGTAGGGCGTAGGGCGTTAGGCGTCCGTCGTCGACATCGTCAAATATTACTCGAAAAGGTTCGCCCACCGCCGCGGTGTTCTCTGTATTTGATCTTGGTCCGCTGCGTGTAAAGCGGGCCCGTAACCATAGAGGTAGGCCATATTTTACATATACTTATTTTCTACTGCGCCGCTATACGCAACAGCTCTCAAAATCTGCTTTATCGGCTCTTGATAGACGTAGTGCGTGTGAGACTTGGGTAACGCCCACCAGACGGTGACAGTTGCTTTGACATCACGATATAAACATTTTTAATCATTCTGTAAAAAAATCAAAATTTAAGAAGAGTTTATTGTGAAAATAAATGCCTCGGCTAGTCGGCGTAAGCTGCCGCCCGATGAGGAAAGTTCAGCCGCATCCATCCCATCCCTCCACCTATCGTCCCATCACACCACTTGCCACGTTGTATCACGCCACATGTGACGTCACAACCTGACCAAATAACACTGAAAAGACAAGGTTTGAGCAATTCTCTCCCATGCGTCATCAACTAGTGAATCTACGTAGCGCTGATTAGCTCGCGTCAGCGACGCCACCAGCGCGTCTCGAAGCGTCTCACGACGAGCGCGACGCTATGCGGAGCGCAAGTTCGTCTGCTTCTTTTGCAGGGGTTGCGGTGACCTCAGAACGCCGAGCTCTGATTGGCTCTGATTGAAGTACAGAGGGTAGACCTCGAAGCAGCTTGCTTAAAGGTCTACTCACTATCCTTTAATCAGAGCCAATCAGAGCTCAGCGTTGTTCTGACGTCACTGCAACTCCTGCGCAAGAAGCAGATGACTTGCTCTCCGTATACACTAGCGCTCGGCTCTGACGTCACACCGCTTCGGTGGCGCTGCTGTCGTTACGCCGACAGCAGCGCCTCCAACTATGGTGAGCATACTCCGCAGTTCTGGTTTCTGCTCATGCGCAGTGCCCACATGTGCAGCGGGCATAAACGCAGACTTGTCTGTAAGTTGTGTGTTGGTCTATAGTAAGCTACAACATTAAGAGTGTAAGGCGCAGGCTCCAACCACGAACTGTCACAGAGAAATAGCGCTTTACGCCACTTACTGAGAACGCAACCACGCGGTGAACGCAACATTTAGCTGACGTCACAAAAAATAAGGAAAATAAGTCACGTACCAGCGGCTTTTTGTTTTTCAAAATTGACACTCCCAAACACAAAGCTTGGTCTAATCTCCAATGTGACTCAGCGTCCGTGACAGCTTCGTTCAGTCAGGACTTTTCGTGTTTACATTGTGGACGCATACCTGCAAGGAGTGTTCGTAGTTGTGCGACAGCCTCTTTCTTGACGTGTGGCGTCTCGCCGAGCTGCTGCTCCGCCATAAGTTGCAGGTCGGCAGAAAGTTCTGCCATGCTTCACACCTCTGACTTCTTTTGCGTGATCCTCCTGCAGGTATGAAAAAAACAATCCTGACATATAACACTAAACTAGGCAAGTGAGACGAACTTGGGTGGCACACAGCGGCAAACGCTGAACTACTGCGCCTTATCAAGCACTTGTCCTTAGTACTTCCACTTTTTTTCCCCGCATGAATTTCGAGCCTGTTATGTTTTGTACCGTGTTTTCCGGACGAGAGTTCGCTCGTGGTGCATTGGCGAGTTTCATCACGTGTTTTTTAGCCTATCCTTCCATGGCTTCAGTTTTTGGTCGCCAGAAGCTGTGAACATCTGATTCGCTCTAGAAGGCTGGCAAGTGAACCTGCCGCCAGTGCTTTCTCTTCTAACCAATAGGTTCCGTCGATTTTGCGCCTTTGGTGCATTGATCGCCCTTTGGTGTCTACTCAACAGTCTTGTACACTTCACGCCAAAAATGAAATCGATTACAATTACTATTACTATTAGTTAAAAATATTAGAATAGATTACTCGATTACTTGAAAGAAAAATTAATTGACCGCTACTTGAAAAGTAACTGTTACTTTTCCGATTACTTAAGATTTAAAAAAAAAGGCATATTTTTACGCTGATTTGAAGACGTGCTGTCTAATATTGGGCTAGAATCATCAAATTACAGAGTACACGTCTTCTAGATCCACCACTTTTGGTAGACCGTCCCCCTATCGGAAGCTCGGTTCGCGGGAATTCTTTCGTAGAAAGGTTGTGGAAGCAAAGAGCGCCATTCGGAAGGGGAGAGAAAAAATAGTAACGATTACATGTAATTTTATTACTTTCGAAAACAATCAGATTACTCTTTTGATTACTTTACCAATAATGGTTATAAAATTATTACAAAATTACACCAGAAAGCAATCCATCAGAATTAATATTAATACTTGTAATCAGTACCGTCTGTTACGCAACGTGTGAACAGGCCTCATAAGGGTGACTTTTTTTAAGTTCAAGTAAATGAAATGTGTTTATTGTAAATTAGGTTCACTCTATTTATATAAAATGTATTTGATTTAAGTCAAGTCAGCTTGATTTCAAGCACTGTAGCTAAAAAGTAGCGATTCATTTTCACTAGATATGCTTGCAAACATGGCAGATTGATTGATCGGTTTGTGCTATCACTGATGACAACGCGCGCAAAAAAAAAAAAAACACTTTGGAAATCTGAAGTACAGTGTAATTAAGAACGTTTTAATTATGTATCTGCCGCCACAATACAAAAAGCAAACCAAGAAACAAAAACCGGCTTTAATAGTTTACTTATTAAAAACATTTTTTTTTCTCATTTTGACTCGATTGCAAATGGACATTACTTTTCTAGTTTTCATTTCTATACTTTGCTTTCTGATTTTACTGAAATAGGGCTTCAGGGAACTGAAAAACGAAGCAAGTGGAAGGGGGAAATCAAGTTCATCAACGCTCCGATTTGCTCAGAAGAGCACTGAATATTTTTGCTCGTGTTCAGTCATATATAAATATTTTTTGCTCGACGCTTCTTTGATTTAAATACGAAACAGATGCACATAAAAAGAACATTAAATAATAAATGAACGATAAACAAAAACCTTTTTTTTTTGGGGGGGGGGGGGGGGGGGATCATTTTTGCTGAATGGTTTGATTTATATCACCATAGTAAAACCGGTTCGATTTAAACCACGATTTAAATTACGTTGATTTTTATTTTCCAGCTGAATCTTATACGCAGCGTGCAGATGCCTGGTTTATTAGCTAACAGAGAAGCTTGTCTCACGAATACCACTGACGTATATACGCTGTTATTCATAACTAGGGCTCCGTGTTTTCGGATAAATCCGAAAAACTCCGAAAAACACCCGCCGGTAAATATTTCGCCAATTCGAATTTATCCGATAAACTCCGAATGTTTATGTGCCAATGCCACCCCCCCCCCCCCAAAGCAAAAAAAAAAAAAAAGATAATTTTTTTTTCTTTTTTTTTTTTTTACAATTTGTTTAGCAGAGTCAATGGTCCTGTGAAAATGGCACCATAATTATCTTTCAAATCTCACACCGTTGTCAAAAGGGGTCTTGCCGTTTGTCTCGTCGAGGTTGATTCAGGGCAGCAGGTCATAGTACATTCGGGTCACGACAAAAGCCACTCTTTTGGTTTCCAGTTGGAGCCATCCGATTTGTGATTTAAAGAAAGGAGAAGTCATTTTTTTATAACAGTTAAAGCTAGGGACCATAGAGATTGCATTAAATAGGGAAGAGGGGCAGTTGAAACTTCTCTATTACATCCTTAACTACTCCCCCTCGCGCGGCCGCGGGATAGATTGGTGGGATGACTACGAGCTTCCTTGCGGCTACCTCCAGCAGTTTATTGATTTTAAGTTATCGACGTTTATCGAAGCCAATCTTGTGTGCGACTTTTGTCGTGGCACAAATTGATAGTTCCAATGGCAGTGGCACGAACGTCAAATTCAACTGAAGAAATTTTAATCGATACAAGCGCGTGTTATTTTTTATTTGGCATACGTTTACATCCGGTTATTATTTACATATTTATTTTCAATAGGAAACACTGTGAAATTAAACTCCGAATTTCGGAGAATTCGCACTCAAACAAATGTAAACTCCGATAAACTCCGAATCTTCGGCAAAAAGTAAACTCCGAAAAACACCCTCCGATTTTGACGAAAAATAAACTCCGAAAACACGGAGCCCTATTCATAACATACACGTCAGGTCTTTTTATAATCAACGACTTCTCTGCCGTTCCTCCTGGTGCCAAGTGGCCATAAAGTCACTGGCAGCTTAACAAAAACAGCATGGCATGGCATATTATGGTAGCGCTTCATTCGTGATTGGTTCCTAGGCGTTCTTATCCGCTAATGCAGCGATCTGATTGGCTGAGCGGCGATACTGAGATGCCCGGGACTCGCCACCCCCTGCGTTTCTGTCAGTGACTATACTTCGTTTCAGCTTCGGTCCAGACGCAGCCAAAGCTACAAGTGCGAGCTCCGGCCGGGCTTTCAGCATCCCTGCCAAGCACGCGCGCTCGTGCAGTGCGAGCACTGTTCTGGGCCAGATGCTCGCGCTTGTGGCATCGGCTGCGTCTGGACCGAAGCTGAAACGAAGTATATACCCGTTTCATACTTAGCGTGCAACGCTGTCAAGGCTACTGGCGCGAGCGCGTGGCTTCATCTATGATTTTGTTTGCGCGAGAACGCGTGCAAAAGATCAATGAAATCAAGCCCCACGCTCGTGCCAGTAGCTTTGACAGTGTTGCACGCTAATTATGAAACAGATTATATATACTCCGTTTCACGATAACTTGGCGAACTGTGGAGGCTGCAGCCTCCGCGACCCATTATAGGAGCCGGATCACGGCACATGACAGCACTCCATGGTCGAGGCCATCGGGGTCTCGTGACCGCCACAGCAACAGAGCCCCCTGCGACAAAATGTAGTTCTAGGCTTCATTTTCTTCTAACGGCAATTGAGCTCGCGCGATTCCATCTAAACGAGAAGATATGAAGAATAACGAATAAATATTCACAAATTTGTAAGTTTCAACTGTATTTAAACCAGACAGGTGACGCCACAGTCGGAAATGTTGCTGTGGTGGACGTTCATCCGAAGGTGGCTGGTTTCGGAGCAGACAACTCTTGGCTAGCAGACGACAACCGGTTCCTCCAGGCCTCGCGCCTTGCATTTGGCTTGGTGACACAAATGCTCCCGTGACGTCGGGTCACGTGCCTCTCTCCGACGCTCTTATTGGGTCGCGTTGCTTTAGCATCGACAGTTCGCCAAGTTATCGTAAAACGGAGTATAAAACCTGGCAAAATGTTTACAGATTAACGCAGGCCCTACCAAATTTGATCTGATTGAGAGTTGATACACAGTGGCGTGCGGTATGTTTCACTACTGCGCGATTCACGCCAAAGACCCCCTAGGAAATAGCAGTCACACGGCACTGGGGAAATGACTCACCTAATCCGTGCTACGATTTCCCCATACTTTGGCAAACCAAGGTCTCGCTGTCGAAACCTCTCACGTCTTCTTTACTTTTAAAGCATAAAATGCTTTTTAATAACGCTAACCCCATTCCCAAAGTTTTGTTGGTCCGTCCGCCCGTCCGAACCGTGCATTTCCCGCTAAACGTAGCGGGGAAATTGATATCACGAGACCAATACACAAACGAAAATTCACAGGTAAATTTAGCGGGAAAATGCACGTCTTGGTGACCTAGACAGTAATCCAGTTTCCCCGCCTCATTTAGCGGGAAAAATCGACATTAATTTCAATGTCACACGCCCCTGCAACTAGGGTATTCGCGACTCCAATTCACTATAGGTGGCGCCACTCGTTTTCCAAAATGGCCGGTTTAGTGAGGGTCGGAGATGCGAGCCGCTGCTGAGCCTGTCTGGTTTGCGGGCTTCACTGAGCGACACAAATTATTTCTGGTAATACTAGAGAGCTAGGGTGTTATAAGCGCAAGTTAGCTCATTATCCTGTAAACAAAAATGGTATTTAGCGTACTATTTCGGCCAGGAGGTACGTTTTAATTTCGAAACAAAACCGAAACTTACCTTTATTTTGGATTTAATTTTAGATTCTTACATAACTTCGGTCTTAATTTCAGATTTTTTCATAACTCAAATTGTGTCTCATACCGTGATTATTTAGTTAAAGAAGTTGTTCGCGGAAACCTTCGTCCCTTTAATGACAGGGTCTTTCATACACTTTAGAGGTAACAGAGAATGTTGTAGTTGTTGAAATATTCAGTGCTGATTTTCGTGCGTTCTTGCTGCCTTTTCTCGCTGACATAATTGTCTTATGAAACAATTAACTGCGAGCCTTTCAGGGGCTTTCTGGGTATTTAGAAGACTAATTGCTTTAATATATTTCCCAGAACAAGAATAAGCGAATAAATCCAATTTATGCGATATGTTCACAAAACGTATGAATTAAGAAACGCTGTTCTGACTAGAAAAATTCAAACACG